AACAAAAAAATAATTACGTGAATCGAAACAACAGAAAGCGAATTTAGAGATAATGCGGATGGCAGTATTACTTTTTCCGTGCGACCTTTTAATTACAAAAATAGGGAAATTACACAAATAAAGGTAGAAGGAGGAAATACCGAAGATTATAAAAAACATTTTCCGACTGGGTTATCTCAGCTAGCTAATTCTTCACTAAACACTAGAAAACGAGTAGAAATTAGTTTTGATGAAGACAGTGCTAGGGAAAACGGAGATTTATTAATTATTAATGGTAATTCTAATGTTAAAAAGTGAGAAGGTTCTAGCGAATTTCAATTTAAACTAAAAAATAAAAGTTCAGGCGGCAAGCATGTTGTTTTAAACATAGAAAATAAAAAAATAGATGAAAGTGCTTTTTCTCCGATAATTAAAATAATTACTTTGTCTTTTTGAGGGGATGATATTAGTCAAAAGGTAAAAAATAAATTAGAGGATGGCAAAGAATACGTTATTAAGGATATTAGGTGAGACAATTTCGGACTTACTACGGACGGTGAATTAGCAATGAACCAAGCCGAAGGAGATTTACAAAAAATAAATATCTGTGATGTTGCTACTTCGCAATCTATTTTTTGAAATAATCATGAGACTTCAAAACAGGATTTTGCTGGGGAAAAGGCAGCAAGTGTTATTAACAAATTGCTTGCTTCTTACGACAAAATGAGAAACTATAATGAAGTAAGTAGAAATGATTTTGACGAAGCAATTAAAGCGGTAAAAGAATTAAAAAAAATATTAAGAACTGGAACTAGTGAAGAGCAGAAACATTTTGAATCTGATTGACAAGAAAATAAAGATAACAATAAACTTTTTTCCTTAGTAGGTTACATTTCGGCTGCTAATTCTATCCATAAGTGAGGATATGATTTGAAAGATTTGGAAAACTTTGAAACTAATAAAGGAGCCTCAACACAAGATAATAATTTGTCTGAGAACACTAATAATAATAAAAGGAAAAGAGATGAAGATGAGGTAACAAATTCTTCGTCTGATTCTAAGAAAGCCCGTTTAGACGATAATCTGAAAGAAGAAATTGATAAGAAAGCCCAAGCCAACGCCCAGCAAACTGAAACTACGTTAAATAACTTGCTTGATAGTGGAACCGAAGGAAAAACTCCCGACCAATTAAAAGACCAACTAAAGGGAATTGAAGAGTTAAGCAACAAACAATTTTATCAAAGTAAAAAGTCAGAAGTTAGTCAGAAGGAAGATGAATTAATAGAATTATTAGGTGTTGAGGAATATACTAAGTTGATGGTTAAAACTATTAAAACTCGTCTGACCCAAGCCGGTCTCAAAGTTAGCGAATTAGATGAAAAAACTCAACAGAAATTAACCAGTTTGTCGGAGGAAACCAACAAGTCAAAAGCAAAGGAAATTAAAACTGAAATTAGCCAGGAAGTAAGTAAAGTGATTGTTGGTAAAAAATTAAAACAACTGCAAGCCCAAGTGGAAAAAGTTAAAAATGGTAGTTTGGAAGAGAAAGAAAAAGTTAAAAAGGAATTGTTGGAGTTCATTAGTAGCGATGATATTTTCTTCCAAAAAGAGAAAAGTAAAATCGAAGCAATGATGGCTGATTTACAAAGCAATTCTACTCGAACAACCGATTCTCCGAATAATTTCCCTTGAAAAGTGGTAGTTCCATCTTTTCTAGCCGTGTTGTTCGTGGGAGCAGTGATAGTGGTAGTTCGCCAAAGAAAAAATGCCAAGATTAAAAAATAGTTAATGAGCGAAGAGGATATAACCACTTATTTAAAGCAGTATGGGTTTCTTATCCCTAACGCCGAAGTCTATGGCGGTTTGGCTAAGTCCTGAGATTTAGGTCCTTATGGTGCCGAAGTCAAAAGGAACTTAAAAAATCTCTGATGAAAATATTTCATTACTGCCAGCCCTTACAATGTGGGGTGTGATAGTTTAATAACTACTCACCCTGCGGTTTTGGCTGCCTCCGGACACCAAAAAAACTTTCACGATTGATTAGTGGATTGTTTAAATTGTCAAAAAAGATATCGTTTTGATAACTTAATCAGTCCAGCGGACTTTACCGCCTTTTTGGCTCAGACCGACCAAAGTAATTATTCCCTACGAGCAAAATGTCCGCACTGTCAGCATAATAACTTTACTGCCCCTCGGCAATTTAACCTCCTTTTGACTACTAATTTTGAAATAACTGAAAACCAAGAAAATAGAGTCTATTTGCGACCGGAAACTTGCCAAGGAATATTTATTAATTTTTTGCCTATCCAACGCAGCACCCATCGGCAATTACCTTTTGGTATCGGACAAATTGGCAAAAGTTTTCGTAATGAAATCACGCTCCACCACGGCATTTTTCGCACCCGAGAATTCGAACAAATGGAATTAGAATTCTTTTGTTCCCAAGAGGAAAGTGAGAAATGGTGAGAATACTGAAATCAAAAAGCCTGAATTTTTCTTAACCGACTGGTTGGTAACAAAGAAAAAACGAAGCAAGTACCATTAGCCCGCAGCGAGTTACCCCATTACGCACGAAAAACTACTGACTTATATTTTCAATACCATTTTGGCTGGGGCGAAGTTAGCAGTATTAGCGACCGCGGCAATTATGATTTATCGCAGCATAGCCAACATTCACAAAAAGATTTAAGTATTAACAGAGTCATTCCTCAAGTAATAGAAGTTTCTTTTGGAGTTGAAAGGTTAATGTTAGCAATGTTAGAAGACAGTTATCGGGAGGAAGCAGTAAAAAATTCCGAAGCCGAAAATAAAGAAAGAAAAGTATTAAAATTACACCCCTTATTATCTCCTTATTTTGTGGCTATTATCCCGCTTAGTAAGCAATTAAAAGAATCGGCTTATCAGTTGTATCTCAATTTACTATCCGCAGTTCCATTCAACCTTACTTACGAGGAGGCTCCTAACGTTGGCAAAGCTTACCGACGACAAGACGCTATCGGCACTTATTATTGTTTGACCGTGGATTTTGAAACTTCCCACGATAACATGATTACTTGTCGCCAGCGTGATACCATGAAACAAGTCAGAATAAAGATTAAAGATATTAAAAATTATTTATACACTGAATATGAGACCCATTTCCAAAAGTTCCTCCAATAATAAGCAACCCAAAAAGAATGATTGGATTTTTTATTTATTAATTTTGTTGGCCGTCGGCGGAATAATTGTTTCCCTAGTATTGTTTGTTAATAGTCGGCAGAAAGCCCAAGAAATAAGATTTGAAAAAGACCAAGAAAAATTAGCAGAAAAAGTTAAAGATGCTTCGCAATCCGAAATTTTTTTCATTAATGAACGAAACCTAGCCAAAAAAAAAAAATTGCTGAGTAGATTACTTTTAAACGATTGTAATCCGAAATTAACTGCTAAACAAAAAAGTCAGATAGATAACTACTTAAAAAATTTAGATATTGCCCCCGTTGACTATAATGAACTAGCCAGTTTAGACCGCTGAAAAGTTGGTGAAGACGAACAATTATTAGGTTTTTTAGAATCATATATTGTCCCCGCTGAGGAAATAAAAAAACAACTTGAGGAAATCCAACCAGCCTGAGAAAAAAATGTTATTAGAAATACCGAACCGGAAATAAGAAGAAAGTTAGACCAATTATTAAGAACTTACTATGACCAGTTTTTAGCCCAGGAGTTAACGCCCACTGAGGAAAAATTAAAAAATCATGGGGTTGAAATGATTGAACCGGAAGTAATAAAAGGAAGACGAACAACTGCGGCTACCAAGCAAGCCGATATTGATTATATTAAAAGCCATCCTCAATTTGGTTGAGGGACAGCTAAACCAAAATTTATTGGTTTTCAGGGATTTACTAACCCCAAAGAATCCAGTAAGGAAAAAGTCGTGTTGGGTCTGACTACCACTGATAAACAAGAAATAAGAATAATTACTGATGGACCACGAATTGGCACCGACTCGGATGGAAATCCCGTTCATGACAAAAGCAGGGCCACTTATTATTATACTTGACTTGCCGAACGCCGGATATTCATTACTTTAGAAAAAAAACTTTTCTTCAATCGTGAAAACGAGTATTATGATAAATGAATAAATATATTTTCCCAAAAGAAAGAGGTTAATGATTTAAATTATTCCGATATTTCCTGGGAAACTTTAACCGAAACTATCGCTCATGAGTTAGCCCATGCCATAGTCAATACCCTCATGTATGATGGTAAACCGATGCTGGATGATGGCGGTCACGGACCACTTCACGATGATTTTACCCATCGCATGAAAGTAATGATAGAAAAGACTCCCGAGTGAGCCGAATTTAAAGTATGGTGAAAATCCCGCCAAAATTAATTAATGAAAAAAGTTAATATTGCCATTGATGGACCAGTCGCGGGGGGGAAAACTACTGTCGGCCAAGCCTTAGCCCGCCAAATTAATTATCAATTTTTAGATAGTGGTCTATTATTCCGTCATTTCGCCCAATTTTGTCGTGAAAATAATTGAACGGAAAGCCACCAAAACGAAGAAATAATTAAATTATGTTCTTTATGACAGACCAAGTTTTTAACCAATAATGTCGCCGTAATATCCTATCAATTAGAACAAGCAAGAACAATTTTAAGTTCCCAAGAAGTTGGTAATTTGGCTTCCCGATTAGCAGTTATCCAGGAGTTGCGAGCAATTATTCTTGCTTGCCAACGAACTTTAACCCAAAATAAAGGCTGGGTAGTAGTCGGTCGTGATATAACTTCGGAAGTTTTACCCCAGGCCGAAATTAAAATTTTTCTGACTGCTAGTTGAGAAGAAAGAGTGAAAAGAAGATATCACCAATATCAGCAAAAAATAAGTTGAGCGGAAGTAGCCAAAGACTTACGAGCTCGCGATGAACGAGATAGAAAACGAACTCTTTCTCCGTTGCGAAAAACTGCTGATAGTTGAGAATTAGATACTACTAATTTAACTCTACCAGAAAGTGTAGCCAAAATAATAAAAAGATATAATGAGTTAATATGATAACAAAATTAAAAAAGAAAACTACTGACGCTAATTTCTGTGCTTGGTTAAGAGATATTAAACAAGTTGATAGTGAATGAGTTTTAAATTGCGGAGATTTAGAAAAATTAACCAGCGAATATCAACAGTTTTCCGCAACTATTCAGCAAATTACCACCAAATAAAAAAGTTTCGGCGTTAAAAAGCAGTAAAATAAATTATTATGAAAGTTCGTAGTTCAATTAAGACCATGTGCCGAGATTGCCAAATAGTGCGAAGAAAAGGGCGCCGCTACATTTATTGCCACGAAAACCCCAAACATAAGCAACGACAAGGTTAGAGAAATTTATGATTAATAACATTCGTTCGCTTTTTCCTATTTTTACCCAGCAAAAAAATCTAGTGTATTTGGATAGTGCAGCCACTAGTTTAAAACCTAACAGTGTTATTCAAGCGGTTCGAGACTATTATGAAAAATATTCCATTAATAGCCATAGTAGTGGTAGTAATCGGTTAGCCCAAGAAGTTCAGTCAACCATTCAACAAACTCGGCAATTAATCGCTCAAAAAATTAACGCAAGACCGGAAGAAATTATTTTTTTACCCTCGACCACTTATGCTTTAAATATTTTGGCTTTGTCTTTGAAAAATCATTTGGAAAAAGGAGACAAAATTTTTTTAACTCATTTAGAACACAGTTCTAATATTTATCCTTGACAAGCCATTGCTCAGGAAAAAGAGGTACAAGTTAACTTCTTACCTTTAAATAAGAATTTCACTATTGACATTAATGTTTTGGGTAAATATATTGATAAAAAAACCAAAATAGTTAGTTTTGTCCACATGAGTAATAATTTAGGAGTAATTAACCCAGTCCAGAAAATTACTCAAAAAATTAAAGAACTAAATCCGAATTGTTTAGTAATAATTGATGCTTGCCAAAGTATCGCTCATTTACCAATAAACATTCAAGAATGAGAAGTTGAGGCGGTGGCTTTTTCCGGACATAAAGTCTACGGACCAACTGGAATAGGTGTTCTTTGAATAAAAAAGGAACTAGGGGGAAAATTACCCAATTTGTTATGAGGGGGAGGAAAAAAATTTGGACCCCTTTCCCTTACTAGTGGTTTGTCAGTCGCTCAAAAATTCGAAGTAGGTACTTTACCCTTAGCCCAAATTTTTGGCTTAAAAAAAAGTTTGGAATTTCTTAATAGTTTAGATATCCAAGAAATAAGTAATTATGAGAAGGAATTAAAAGATTATGCGGTAAAAGAGTTAGCAAAATTGGAAAATATTATTATTTATAATAAAAACTTGGAAACAGTGGATATTGTTCTTTTCAACTGGAAAGATTATCACGCCCATGATATAGCCGAATATTTGGGAAAGAATAATATTTGTGTGCGAACTGGTGATTTTTGTTGCCCTTATTTAAAAGAGTTAATCGGAGTAGAATCCGCTGTCAGAATTTCACTTTTTATCTACAATACTAAGGACGATATTGATAAACTAATTTGTCATTTGAAAAAAATTAAAAAAGAACCCGAATTATTAACTCCTTTTCCTGAATAAATTATTTTAATTCTTTGTCTTTTTTAAGTTCTTTGTCTGCTTGTTCTTTACACTCTTTACAAATTAGGGCAAGACCATTAACCCCCGCGTATTCTAGTCCCTTTAATTTTACGGCTCAACTTTTATACATGCCTTCGCCCTCTTTGCCACATTTATAACAGTTTGGAATTCTAGTTGTCATGTTATCTTACTCTTCCTTTTTTTCCATTCATTCATTCAACTCTTTCCGCAACTTAACCATCACTTCCGCATCAATTTTTCCGTCCTTGAAACCTTTTTCAATAGTTTTATTGTAATTATTAAGATTTTGAATCTCTTCCATTATTTTTTCCCGTTCACTCGGAAGAACACCAATTTCTGTTTTCGCCCGTAAGTGATTTATTTCTATTTCTCGCTTTCAAAAATCTCATCATAGGATTAATTGAGTTTCCAGTTTTTCAACGTTTTCTCATTCTTGGTCAAATCATTTCTTATTTTCTCCGATTTGTTTATCTAACTCTTTAAACTTATTGGCAAACCTTTTCTCTATTTCTTTCTTTTTTTCAGTAACATTTTTTAAATGCTTTTCAATATCTCCCAATATCTTTTCTGGCTTGGTAGTTTTTTTTTTCTTTAAAATTATCGACATATTAATAACATTATTTTAGCAATTTTTCAAAAAAAGTTTCTTTATTTTTTTAGTGACTTATTAATATAATTAATTTCTTTTTACTAATTTTATCTATTTTGTGACGAAACTCTTTTTTATTATTTTCATCCAAAGCATTATCGGCTTCATCAAAAATAAATATTTCCTTATTTTCACTGTTAGCAAAAAGGCTATTGAGGTCAGCTAATTGTTTTTGCCCAGTTGATAAACCATTTTCGATTAAATTTTCGTGCTCGGCATAAGCAATTTTTTGCCGTCATTTTTCTAAATTTAAGTCACTTAATTTATATTCATTATTAATGATAATTTCTCCTTTTTGTGGTTGATATAAACCCATGATTAGGCTAACTACGGTGCTTTTACCAAAGCCATTAGCACCAGTTAAGTGATTAATTTTTCCTTTCTTAAATTCGTAATCGAACTTACCTAGTATTAATTTATTTTTTTCATAAGCAAAAGAAACTTTTTGTAAACTAATATTAGTAATGGGTTCGCTAATTAGGACATTTTTTTGCCGGTCATCTCTTTCTGGTTGTTGCAGGAAATTGTTAATGCACTTTTGTGCGGCAAGCCCTACTGGATATTCTTTTAATCGCTCAGCCATTTTTTTAGTTGACTCAGAAAGTTTGGCTATTCGTTGATAAGCAGCAAGATATTCACTGGCAAAAGGTAAGAAAATAAAGCCTCCAACTTGTCCTAAAGAATAAGAGGGAATTACCCACGACAGAGTAAAAGTTAAATCACGTTTATTTGCGAAACTTCGGGAATTATCCAGCAAACGATTATAAGAATTTAACGAGGAAGAAACTAAGTTTTTTTTAATAATTAAGTCACGTTTATCAATCAGAAAGTTATCTTTTTTGGTTTCCTTGGCTAAGGGTTTTTGAAAGGAGAGTTCTTTCTTAAAAAAGAGATATTGTAAAAAAATACTAACTAAAAGCGTAAAGCCAAAAAAAGCCAAACCTAACCATAAAATCATGCCGCCAATATCTTTTAACATCCAAAAAGTAAGAGTAGTTCCTAAAAGAGCATAATATAACTGATTAGGAGCAAAAATTACCAAGTAAGAAAAACTACGGGCGTTGTGAGTTAAAAGTGCCGTGGCTTGTTTAGGGTCCGAAAACTTTTGTAGCGAAAAAACTTTGCGGGCTAATTTTTTTTTCACGGCCGCAATTATTTTATTAGTGAAGTAATAAGCATAATAAACATGGGCAATTACTATTAAACAATAAATCACAATAAAAATCAGCATCACCGAAATAAGAACATTTCGGGAAACTTCTTGCGAACCAAAATCAAATAACTTGAAATCTCAATTAAGTATATAAGGTGCGTTTTCGCCTTTTCCAATTCTACTAGCAATGTTCCCTCAGGCATTATTATCAATCAGAAAATTACCAAAGCAACTTAAAGTAGCCAGAAGATAAAAAAAAAGTTGCTCTTTTCAATATCTTTTGGTAATATTTCACCAGTTTAATTTTTGTGTTTTTTTGTGTTTTTTTGTGTTTTTTGACATATTATTTTCTAGTTTGGTGTTTAGTGAAAGTGGGTTCATAGTGTCAACGGCAACGATTACTATATTTTTTGGCTCCACCGACATAATCTTCGGCTTGGGTGGGTAATCAAGTTAATTTTCACTGGTTTCTTATGGCCGGACTCGAGCAATCTTTTATTTCACACTGAGCCGTCAATTTAATAATTGTATCCGCCGCCGTCAATAAATTAGCCGTAGTAGGAAAAGGCTGGTCGCCAAAACAATTTCAATCTAATCCCGCGACAATTATTTCTTTATTTTGCCTAACTAGTTCATTTAAATAAGAAATCGCCTCCGGTGGAAAAAAATGTATTTCATCAATAAAAACACTGGTAAATTTTTCTTTATACTTTTCTATTTCTTGAATATCTTTGATGGGTATCGCGGTTATTTTTTCGCCAGCGTGGGAAACTAGTTCCGATTTACTATAACGGTTATCAATGGCCGGTTTGAAAACTAAACATTTACGAGAATTATTTAACTGATTATATCTATTAATTAGCCAGGAGGTTTTGCCAGCAAACATGGTGCCAGTAATTACCGTTAGTGAACTGTGGTTACTATTTATTAGTTGATTGTTTTCGGTCATATTTTTGGTTTATTTTTTTCAATCCGTTCGGAGTAAATTGGTATATTTCATTGAGATATTGGAGCGTGGCTGGGTCATGACTAATAACTATAACTGTCTTGCCGTCTAATTCTTGAAAAACAATTGGCAAAATTTTCTCTTTTAAGTCGGTGGCAACATTACTCAAAAATTCATCAAAAAGATAAATCTGATAATCCTTAATAAACACTCTCATTAAACTAACTAACTGTTTCTGTCCCTCGGATAGATTTTGCCCTTTTTCGGTAATAATTGTTTCTCAACGAGCGGGCAATTTATCCATAAACTCTTTCATTCCTAGTTTTTTAGCAATTTTTTCTAACTTTTTTTTATGAATAGTTTCTTGATAGAGGTCAGGATAGAGTATATTGTTACCTAAACTGGTATTAAAAAAATAGGGGTGATTAGGCAAGTAAATTATTTTGGTTCGTCAAGCCAAATTGTCAATTTTTTCTAATTCAGTGTCATTCACTTTAATAACCCCCGACTGCGGTTGATAAAGTTTGACAATTAACCGAAATAAAGTGCTTTTTCCTACTCCGTTCGGTCCCGCTATTCCATACTTTTCACCTTTTTCAAAAGTAAAAGAGAAATTATCTAATACTTTTTTCTTAGTTTCAGGGTAAGAAAAAACCACCTTTTCCAAATTAATATCAGAACTTTTTGGTAGTAATTTTTTAGTAGATTTAGCCGGAAAATCAGCGTTTTTCTCTAAAATAATAAACGACTTATTTAATTGCTTCAAACTAGCACAGTAAGTATCATAACCTCCGTGAGCTCAAAACATTTCAATAATAGTTTTTGCGTTGCCAAAAATATCGTTGATTTTAAAATATAAAAAGGCTCCTGCTAAGCCTTGATAAAGATATAAGAAAAATAGGGGTATCGCGTACCTTAATAAATAACTGGGAATGGTAGCATAAGTGGCTTTGGCAAAAACAAAAGGAAGTTTTTTTTTCAGATTACTATCTAACGCGTTATTGTTTTTTTTGATTGCTTCTTTTTCTGCTCCAACCGTTTTGATATATTCCACATTATCGCTTAATTCTTTAAAATTCTTATCTTCTTGGGCTACTCTTTTATTCTTTTCTAAATGATAATAATAGGCTAGTCAATAAAGAAGGGCAGCCGAAATTCCCATAATGGCTAAAAATCCTAAACACCAAGGGATAGTTCACCGTAATTCCGGTGATTTAGCAAATTCTCAAATAGTCAGTCCAATCGAAGTCAGAGCAAAAAAACTGCGGTTATAAATGCGAGCGGCTAAAGTTCCTACTTTTTGGGCATCGCTGTCATAACGAGTTAAAATAAACTTTTCTTTTTGAGTTTGGGAAAAGTTGGCCGCTAAGAACTTGTGGGCTAATTTTTTCCGTAAATGAGAACTAAAAACTTCCTCACAGTAAATTCCCACCGCAATATGGCAGTAAGCCACTACTGCATAAAGCAATAAGCCACCCAATAAAGGTCAAAGTTCTTTCCGCACTAATTCGGAACTATTTTCTTCCTTGAAAGTTTTGATAGCATAATTAACTAATTTAATCGCACCGTAAGAACTTAAAGCTGCCAAGCCATAATGAAATAGAAAATGGAAAGGAAATTTTTTTATTAGGTAAAATAGGTTGATTTTGGTAGTTTTTTTTTTCTGATGGTTAATTGTATTCATATTTTTTTAATATTATCAGGTAAATATAACGCAGCACTGACAACGAGGTTCATAATTTTCTTGTCCGCCCACTAAAATAAGGGGACTATCATAAGCGACTGGTTCATTTTTTTTGCCATATTTTCTGGTTCTATTTTAGTTAATTAGGTTTGTTTATCGGTCAGGTTTTTTTTATTTTTTCTCAATAGAACTGGTAAGCATGTCCGCTGGTTAGAGCCTTAGGAGAATGATAATCTAAAAATTTAATATCCAATATTTTTTCTACTTCCTTATTTCGGATTTCGCCGGAGTATTTATAAGCCTGAAAAAAGTAACCTTGCCAGTGCTGATTACCAGGGGGCAAATTAGCATAAAAAACCTTTCCCTCGGTAATTTTTTCTAAATTTTCGACCACTAAATTAGTTTCTTCAAATACTTCCCGACGAGCAGTAATTTCCGGAGTTTCGCCTTTTTCGATTTTACCGCCGGGGAAATTTCAACCTCATTTTTTATCTTTTACTAGCAGAAATTCTCCTTTTTCATTCTGGATAACTACTCGGACAAAACTCAGCAAACCTTTCTCACTGGTGTTTTCTGGCAAACATCCTTTAATTACTGCTTGAACTTCGGTCAGTATTTCGGTCTCATTTTTATTAGCATCAATAATACAAATTCGCTCTGGAAAAAATTTTTTTAATTCTAAATAATGATTCCTAATTCTGTGATGAAAATCTAAGTCCAATTTATCCCAATTACTATATTCACCCGTTTCTTTTTTTCGGTTTTTTAATCTTTCGTGGGCGGTGCGGGGGTCAATATCCAAGATAAAGGTAATATCGGGCAGAGGCAAATCACTAGTTTTTTCCACAACTTCTTGAATGCTACTAATTTTTATCCCATTTTCTAATCCTTGGTAAGCAAAAGTGCTATCAATATAGCGGTCAATAACAATTGTTTTGTTTTCTCGTAAGTTAGGCTTAATTATTTTCTGATTTAATTCGTCAAAAGCAGCCAGGATAAGAAAGATATAATTTCAAGTGCTTGGTAGACCACTTTTTCCTTCCGTTCGCGATTCATTTAGTAAATGCCAGATTTTTTTACCTAAATCAGTATCGCGTCAATTGTGCGTTATCAGGTCAAAATCCGCCTTTTTTTTTAGGTTGTTAATAAGGGTCGTTTTACCGCTGCCGTCGATTCCTTCAATGGTGATTAATAATGGCATATATTTAATTTTAGGGAAGTAGCCAAGTGGCGTTTTTCTCGTGATAATAAGGGTTTAGCGGGAATGGTTATTAAGAAATTTTTCCGGTTTTCCTTGTAAAATAAGCGACCAAATTGAAATATTTTTGGCTGACAAAATTTGGTCAGAAATTTTAGCAGAATCATTTTAGTAAGAAACGGCTGTAAAACTTAGTCGGTCGTTTTCCTTAGCAGGAGCAGAATAATAAGCCGTGAATTTCTAAATAGGGGACTTTTTGATTTGGGGCTTATTTCATTCCGAATCTTCTTTTATTCGAAAAAAGACCGGCATTTCATACTCTTGACACTTGGCTTCGGCACAACTTTTATGTTTGGGGTTAACCTTATTTGTGTCATATTTTTTTGGTTATACAGACGAAAACAAATAAGAGAATAGAAAACTCTGTATATAAGAACCTAAAAATATAATATATGTCAAAATATCTGGGTCCACTTTGAAAAAAATCCCGTGCCCTGAATTTTTCTCTATTAGGAAACAAAAAAGAGTTTAGTCGGGGTAAAAAAAGAACTACTCCGCCGGGCATGCATGGCGAAAAGAAAAAATGAAGAAAATCCCCTTACGGATTACGATTGCGAGAAAAACAAAAAGTTATGTATGGTTATGGTTGACGCGATAAACAAGTAAAAAATGAATATGTAAAAGCCAAATCTGAGGCAGGTGACACGGGTAATAATCTTCTAATAAATTCGGAATCTCGCCTTGATAATGTGGTTTTTCGGTCAGGGTTGGTTAATACCCTCGGCTTTGCTCGGCAGTTAGTTAGTTACAAACATATTTTAGTTGATGGGAAAGTAGTCAATATTCCTTCCTGCAAAATAGAACCTAACCAAGTTATTAATTTAAAGAAAGGAAAAATGGCAGAAAATAAATTTATTAAAAGTAATTTGGAACAAAATATTAAAACCCCACCTTATATTTCTTTCGATAAGCAAAAATTAACTATTACTTATCTCCGCAATCCTCTTCCCGAGGAACTAAACAAAGGTATTGATACTTCATTAGTAGTAGAGTGATATAATAGAAAGGTGTAGATTTTTTTATTTAAATCCTCCTAATGAGCCCCAATTGCAATTATTACAAAAAATGCTATTATTAAAAAAACTACTATTCCTACTCCACTACCATCACTCTTAACTTTTTCTTTTCGTAGTTTTAATCTACAACGATAAAACTTTCCTTTATCAATATTAGAATCGGGTTTCTGTCATTGTTTAGGGATTTTCAGACTCAATAAACTTCCTTCTTGGAGAATAAATTCCTCAGTTAGTATCTCTCTTTGAGTTTCAATAGTATTGAATTATTTTTTTAGTCTTGCCCGCAAACATGGGACCAGAGATAACAGTTACAAATCCATTCATATTAAAATATTTTTTCTTGATTTTCTACAATTACATTTTTTACCAACTGAGGATATTTACTAACATAAGTGAGTTTTTGGGGTGGATGTATTCCGTATTTCTCCTTTAATTCTTTTATACCAATTGGCTCATTCAATTTATATAAATGCTTAATTCGATAAGCAAATTTTCATCTGGGATTTTTTCCTTGATTAAATGTTTCATTATAAGCATTGTCGTTAGGAATTTGCTTAGGATACTCTACTGGCGAATCGAGTTCCAAAATATACATTAAATTTTGAATTGGTCTGTTAACATGAAGTCACATTCTTTTTACTTCGGGGTCAGCTCGCCAACTGCGGAATTCATAAGTCTTTTTTTGACTTACAACCGGAGCCAGATACTCCTCATCAAAACTAACTATTATATCAGATTTACTTGTAATCACTTGGGATTTTTTTTTTTTTTTTTTTGACACTTTCATTACCCTTTTCTTTTTGGTAAAAGCGTTTTTTATTTAAAGTGATAGAAAAGGTTGATTGTTTTCTCGGATTAGTCACTTAAGCAGTCTATATATTGTTAAAGAAATAAAATTTTTCTCATATAGAGTTTAATTTCCTATATCTTATATTTTAATATTTTTGGTTAAAATTAAATATATATATCAGAAATCTATCCAATATATTTATTAGAGGTATCAAATTCTACCCCTAAATTACTTTTCGATAGTAATATAATATAATTAAATATTTTCTTGCAATTTATTATTCTAATTAAAAAAATAAATGTTGCAAAATAAGTACGATTTTCATTTAACCGAAAAAAATAATAACTTAGATTATTGAAAGAGAATAGCCGAAGAAAGTTTGCTTAATTTTGCTTTGACTTTGCTTTTGCCACCGCCTAATATTACTGGTAAATTACATTTAGGACATGCTCAAAATTTAACTTTACAAGATTTTTTGGTACGTTATTCTTATTTAAAAAAACGACCGATTGGTTGGATTTCTGGTTTGGACCATGCCGGAATTGCTACCCAAAAAAAAATTGAATCTTTAAATCTTCCTAGTCTGCAAACTACTCAACAAAAAAGAGATTACACTTTAACTACTTGATATCCGCAATTAAAAAAATCTTTCTTTCAACAATGAGAAAAATTAGGCTTATTAGTCGATTATCAAAGCACTAAATTTACCTTGGACTTAACTATTCAAAAGCAAGTCAAACAGGCTTTTATTCAATTATACCAAGACGGCTTAATTTACCGTGATAAAAAATTAGTTAATTGAGACCCCCAATTAAAAAGTGTGGTTTCCGATATTGAAGTAGAGCATCAACCTACCAAAAGCAAACTCTATTATTTAAAATATCCTTTATTAAATAGTAATGATTATCTGCTAGTGGCTACTAGTCGTCCCGAAACGGTTTTTACTGATGTGGCCTTATTTGTTAATCCAAACGACCAAAGATATCAAAAATATATCGGACAACAAGTTCAGCATCTAATAACCAAAAAACCAATTCCTATTTTGACCGATGAAAGCATAATTATGGATTTTGGCACCGGCGTTTTAAAATGTACTCCCGGCCATGATTTTTTTGATTATCAATTAGGAAAAAAATATAATTTGCCTTTAATTAGTTGCTATAATGAAAAAGGAGTTTTCAATAATTTAACTGGCAAATGACAAGGTAAAGAACCACAATTTATTCGTCCCAAGTTAGTAAAAGAGTTTCAAGAACAGGATGTTTGCTGAAAAATTGAAGATTACCAAACTAATTTAGCAGTTTCGCAAAGGTCAGGGGTACCGATTGAACCATTACTTTCTACCCAATGATTTTGTGATTTGCCAAAGTTAATTCAAAGAATCGAAACGAAAATTCCGGACTTTTTAAATAAAATTAATTTTTATCCCACTCGCTTCCAACAAATTATTGCTGATTGAAAAAACAAAACTCACGAATGATGTATTTCTCGTCAATTATGGTGAGGACATCCAATTCCAGCTTGATATCACCAAAAAACTGGGGAAATTTATGTGGGTACCAATCCGCCCTTGCCCGCTGGGGAATGAGAACCAGAAAAAGATGTATTAGATACTTGATTTTCCAGCGGACTATGACCAATGACTACTATTAACCAAGGGGAAGAATTTCCTTGCCCTAGCCCGCACTATTTTCCTATTAATTACCTAATCACTGGTTATGATATTCTTTTTTTTTGAGTGTTAAAAATGATACTGTTGGGAACTTATTTTACTGGTCAAGTGCCTTTTCAACAAGTATTATTACATGGTCTAATTCGTGATAAATATGGTAAAAAGATGTCTAAATCTTTGGGTAATGGGGTAGAACCGGACGAACTTATTAAAAAATATGGGTGTGATAGTTTACGGCTTTTTTTGTGTGAAAATAACGTTTGGGGCTCAGATTTAATTTATCAGGAAGAAAAGATTATCGGAAGTTGAAGGTTTTGCCAAAAACTATGAAGTGTTGGTAATTTAATAATCAGTAAAATACCGACCGCTGAGTTGCGGAAAATTAGAAAAGAAGAATTAAAAAAAAACAATTTAGTTAATAATTGAATTTTAAACGAATTAGCCGTTTGTCAAAGAGATTATTTTGCCCACTTGGAAAAGAAAAAAATTAATTTTGCTACTACTAAACTTATCAAATTTACTCGGGAAAAATTAAGCAATGAATATCTGGAGTTAAGCAAAATATCGTCCTGAGATACCAATACTAAAAATACTTTACTTTTTGTTTATCAGCAATTATTAATTATGCTTCATCCGGCCGCTCCTTTTATTACGGAATATATTTATCAAAAAATTACTGGTGAAGAAATATTAAAAGCCGAAATTGAAGCACTTGAGGCCGAGACTAAAAATAATAACCTATGACAAATTGATTGTCTACTCCTTTTGCTAAGCAAGATTAGGGATTTACAAAAGAAAAATAAAATAGAACAACTTTATTTAGAGTTAATGCCGGAACGAGAGAAAAAATTAACTTTCTCTTTTGATTTTAATCAATATTTAGAACCTTTAACCAAAAGTAAAGTTTTCATTTTAGAAAAAGAAAAAAAGAATAATCTTAGTTCATTTATCGATTTACAACCCTTTGGTGTTTTATGATATCAACAACAAATCAATGATAAAGACTGAGAGAAAAAATTAAAATTCTATGAAGCCGAATATCAAAGAAGTAAAAAGTTGCTGGAAAACCAAGAATTTTGCCGTAATGCACCCCCCCAGTTAGTTGAAAAAGAAAAAAAAAAACTAATTTACTACCAAAAGCAGAAGAAAAAACTAAATAATTTTCATGCTTAATTTTCCTATTTCCAAAGAAGAAGCCGAACAAACGATAATCAGTTTTCTCAAAAAAAGATTACGAACTACTCCGTTAAGTCTAATTTATAAACTATTTCGTGCCAAAAAAATTAAAATTAATGGGGGAGACATTCGCTATTATCATTATCGCTTAAAAGAAGGAGACAAAGTGATTATCAACGATAATTCTCTCAAAGTTGCTGAGTCTAATAATTTAGCAATACCGAAAAAAAGCCAAGCGAATATAGAAATTATTTATGAGGATAAAAATATTCTTATTATTCTAAAAAAACATGGAATATCCATGCTGCAATTAGATAAAATAACCAGATATTATTTTTACCAGCAGAACCCGCAAAAATACCAGGAACTAAACCAAAAATACTTCTCTTTTACGGCTATTCATCGTCTCGATAAATTAACCCAAGGGCTGGTTATTTATCCAAAAAATCTCACTGCTAAAAGGATACTATATAACGCGATTAGTGATAAAGAAAAAATAACTAAAAAGTATTTAGCCGTGGTGGAAAACTCAGCACAAACCTCCTTGCCTGATTATATAAGTGGTTACTTATGGAAAAATGAACCAGAACAAAAAATGGAGTTTTCTCCTAACCGAAAAAAAGAAACCAGTAAACAGTGTGCAATGGAAATAAAAAAAATCCGCAAAAGAAATAATCGTTTATTACTAGAAATTATTTTACATACGGGTCGAAAACATCAAATTCGAGCCATTTTATCTTATTTGGGTGTGCCAATTGTCGGAGATAAAAAATATGGTAGTAAAATAGAAGTAAAAGAAAAAATTTATCTATTTGCCTACAAAATATTATTTAATAACTTGTCTGTGCCGCTTTCTTATTTAAATAGTAGAGAATTTCAAATAAAGGGAGAATTAGAGGGTTTAAGTTAAGGTAATTATATACAAATTTTACACTAAGGCTTTTTTTTCCTTTTTTTCATTGCCCACAGAATCAAAACTCCCACGAGAGTTAGACTTGCCCCACTAATAAAAATCAAGTAAGTGCTGGGTTTTTTTAATAAACTCTCTCTCTCTCTCTCTCTCTCTCTCTTTGGTGTTATCTTTATTATTTCTTTTTGTTCTTTCGGTAGGTGAAATATCAGTTAAATAGGTTGGATAAAGAAGAAAATTTGGAGCGTTTAAAAGATTCTTTCCCCGTTCTTGTTCATGAAAATACTTGTAATCAGGCGAAGCATAAAATTTATCTTCTCCGAATAGTTCCTTGGTTTCAGTTAAATTGGTAAGACTGTCATCAATAAACAAGTCAAAATCAGGAAAATTTTGCCTTATTAAATAGGCTCGGCTTTTTTTATTTCCCACTACAAATCGACCGGGTTCTCCTAAAAAAATTTGACTCTTGTCTAGAAAAGGATAAAACAACCTATCGTGAACTTTTCTTTTTCGACTATCCATTTCTAAAGTAGCACTGATAAAGATCGTCTTTTTTATAAGATCTTCATCAAAACACCTAATTAGAGCTTCTGCACAACTTAATACCGGTGCTTCATCATAATAATTAGGACTATTCAAAATTTCTGTGAAAGGTTTTTCACAAATTTTTCTCCTTTCT